AAAGTCAGATCGGTGTTTTCCAGCACACGGATTAAAATAATCCATTCCACTTTGCTGTGATGTTCCCTAATATCCGCTCCGGTCATTTTCCAGCGCAGCCGTTAGCGTTAGCATCTCCTGACCCACAGGTCTGTGTCCTAACCATTAAGATGGTTATGTTAATTTATCCTTAAGGACGAAAAAGAGGAAGATGCTGGGTTAATAGACTATTTTCTATTCAGGTTGTTTGTGTGCTTATTCTTTTTAAAACGGTTTACAATATTATTTGCACTTTTTACTGTTCACTTATACCATTTCCGTTTGTTATTTATAATTTGGACTATTTTGTGTTTATCCCTGAATAAACAGGTCAGTGTCTCTTAACCAACCATTGTGTATTATTCACACTCCCCTAATTCAGCTGGCTAGTTGTTATCAGAGTAAATCCCTGTTCAACATGAGTCTGACAACCAAGTACGTAGATGAATAACTTTAGTACATGCTCCGATAGGCCGGGATCTGATCGGAAGTGCAAAAAGCTGGATGGGGACGTCCCTAGTCAGAGATGCTAGTAAATATATAAGGCTGCTCACATAACCGGATAGATGCTCTGTTTTTTCTTTGCTCTCTTTCAGATCGATGAGTTTTCCGGCGCTAACTTCCTGACACTAAAAGAGAAAGTGGAAGCCCTGAGATAGACCAATCCACACACTTTGTACAAACCCCCCCAGCTCCAGTATGATGTAACCCTCCCCCCCCTCCACTCATCGTGTTATGGTGACGTAGTCCCGTTAGTCTGGCGTGACTCCATACAGATTCGCATGTTTAATCCCTGTAGCTCCTGATGTGCTGATAAAAAAAGGTGGATTTATTAAAGCATGAACTGCTCACACTCTGTGCTGCGACTCCTGTTTTCACACCAACAGCCTCTGCTGGGGTTTTATGCTTTAATAAAAAGGTGAGCATAGTTTACACATGTACATTGGACCGTCACAACAATAGTTTTTACACATCGTACAAGCATATAGCAGCAAGTGTCTGATACTGTTTGAGTCTCTATATGAAAAAATACAGCTTTATTTTACAAAACGCTTCCGAGTGGGTCGAAACTTTACAAGAATTCCCTTCATGAGGCGATTTTTATTTGATTTATTTTCCCAGGAGCTCTCAGAAGTGGTAGTACACCGATTTCCTCTTCCTGCAAAGACAA